ATACTTATTTACTACGTAACAAGAATTTTAGCAAAATATTGCTGATTTTGGTTAAATAAATCATTTGTTTCAAAGAANTAAACGGTTACGGTTTCGGTTTGGGTTTCGGTTTCATTCCTTGAAAATAACTCCGATGATAGACGAGTTTAAGCTTAAGAGGTTCAATATTTAATGGAAGTGTTAAAATTTGGTCAATTTTATATTTTCGATGGAAAAACAGAAGCGATTTCTGGTACCCTAATGTACATATGTATAAACAAAATATGCCTTTGTATCCTTTATCTGCAATTTTTTATGTTCGAAGGAGGGAGTAACTAGGTACTGCCTTCAGTAAAATTTTAACACATGTCTTTAAAAGAGGATTTGATTTTATTGAGAACGAGGAAGTTGTATCTCAACAAAAAATATGTTTGTATGTGCAAACATGCATATATTTGTAGGTTAAAAATACCATGATTTTCAATATAAAATAAAAACTATTTACAGTTATTACTAAAGCTCAGTTAATATAGACTTATTTCTTGCGGTAAGTTAGGTTAACGGCTCTATTCTGTATCGGTGACAAATTTTATTTTACTGATAAATCTAAAATTTTTCATATATTTTTCCGTATAAAAAACTGTGACAGGAATTTCTCACTGATACAGAATAGAGCCGTTAACCTAACTTACCGCAAGAAATCGTGAATGTTAACAAAATACGTCAACTTAAGCCAGATGCCATCAAAAATTATGGGAAAGAAATGTGTACATACATTTATTTTGAAGAGCAAAAAAAAAACGAAATTCTAATTATCTCACCGCTCTCAATTTTTGCTAAGCCGTAACCTAAGAATCTTAATTCTACGGGTTCTTAAGTTATTTTACGGTAAGTTAAGTTTTGACTAACCGCTATCACACTTTTTCATAAAGCAGATTGGCTAAAATATTAAGTTAAGTTAAGTTGTTAATATTAATTTAACAAAGTTGGGCTTTAAAAAGTAATCGTGTCATTACGTTAAAAAAATCGTCATTAAGTTCATTTCCACATGGCATTTTTTTAAATGGCTACATTTTTTGTCATTTCCATGGGCCTTATGAATAAAAACTAAGCAATTGCTTTTTCTTAAAATTTCAGCCCTTTTACTTAAATTTATCTGAATAAATAGAGCAAAAGGTCTGAAGTTTTAAGAAAAGGCAATTGCTTAGTTTTCATTCATAAGGCCCAACTGAGTGTTAATTGATTTCTCGAAGTATTTTTATTTCCGAGACATTTTTTTAATCCATCACATCTTTGCATTTATTTAATAAATACATACCCACTTCTTATAAAAAAACTTGACTTCTGGTCACCTTAAACACATGCAATTGATCGTGTCAGCAGTTTACATACGTAGTACATATCGTCGCCCGTATGCCAGAAACATGAATGTGTAAAAATTAAAAATTTGAGAAATCAAGTTTGAAAGTTTTTTTTTCACGAGACTTAACTCTACATTTATGCAAGTGAAATTGTGAGTTATGTGGCATCCGTGTACGATAGGTATTCTGAGTTTTGGTATAACATAGAACATCCAAAGGTTAATCAAGTCAAGCCAATAACTCAAAACTGATAAATCTGTACATTCATGCTTCTGGCATAGAGGTGACGATGTGGAACATAGCTTGGCAGCACGGCATTCAAGCAGAAAGAAATGTGGCATGCTTTTAGGCGTTGAATGTGTCGGTTTGTTAAACAATTTTAATCGAATTTTAATTTTATGCATACCAAGGAAAATGAAAATGTACTTATATACATACTTACGTACACACATATGTATATAAGCATATTAAGACAATTGCATAGTTATAAAAGAGGTTCTCGACTGCGCAAATGTATAAATTGGATTACAAAAGAAAAATTAAAATAAACTCTTGGAAAAGATAGAATTTATTATTTATGGAAAATTTAGGAATTACAAACTTTCGCGGCCTTCTTCGGCCTACTGTAAGATTAAATCCATAGAAATGGCTTTTAAATTTCTGGTCTCAATAATTACGCGATTTTTTGAAATTAAGGAATAAGCGTTACTCGAAATTGCAGGGGTTTTAGCAACACTACCGAATGGAATTAACAGACACAAGGCAGCGGATAAATAGGTCCCTGTTGGGTGAATTCGAAACTATGATTCGGAGGACAGTCAACAGGGCAGCCCACAGGCCTCTTTCTTTTATAGGTTATAACAATGAAGTTAGTAATTGAGTATGCAAGATACCTCTCTCGATTCGATAGTTAACTGGTTAGAAAACAGCGGAAGATATGTAACTATACAGGCATGTTCTGCAAATCGTACGATTTCAAAACGGTGCGATTTACAAAACCTATTTCCGAGGATTTATTAAAAAGAGGGAAAAATGTTGCGCTAAATCGATTGACATAACGTAAATGATGTGTTTCTAGCACTTTCCATTTGAAACATTTAATACTTTGATTAAAAATATACAACAATACTTTGCAAATCACACCGATTTGAAATCGTACGATTTACATACCATGCCTGATAAATTTTTACTACTACAAAAATGAAGAGTTAACTAACTAAGATGTGACTTAACTCCTCGAATTAGCCGTAGACGTTAACCAGCTGAGATTGAATTATTTAAATATCTTCACTAGATGATTCATGGTGTCGCATTCCACATCCACATCAGAAAGCTTCCAACCAAAATTCCAATATATTTGATCTCGATTATAAACGCTGTTGAATTTTGCCAAAAACGGCAGAAGCAAGACTTGAAAATCCCTACAGATCCACAGCAGTCGGGTGTACGTAAAATTTCATTTATATCTGGCCAAGGACTGTGACTCCAGCAGCATTCCCCAAAACACTTTGTAGAATTCGTATGATGTTATAACAACAAAAACAACAACATCCAGTCTTACGGATCTATAGAATGTCAGGCCATTAGCCTATCCTAGCGATGTGCCATAGTACTGACTTATATACCCTCATTCATTTTTAATAAAGTATACATATAGAGTTTTGGTATACATTTAGCTAAACTTGAAAAGAAAGAAGTTGCACGAGGTGATTTTCCACCCAAACTTGGGTCAGAGACATATTTTCGGCTTCCCGACTAAGGGGAAATGCCGGCCATCCAGGATTCAGGACGGAGACCTACCGAAAGTGAATAAATCTTCATCTTCTCAGGCAACCTGGCAGCTATACTCCATACACAGACAGTAAAAAGTATCTTACAGAATACCGTAACCACTTGGTAAGCTTCCGAATTGGCAAGGGAAGTTAATGACCATCCACATCGTCCTGCAAAAGCACACGGTATCTATAACTATGGCCACCTTTAAACAGTTTATCAGAGATCAAACCACTCTAATAGTCAGTCAAGACTGTAATAACTTGAAGCCCTGATTCACATGATCTTTCTATAATAGGAATGCACGTCAGCGCTATTAAGTTTAAACACAAAACATACACGCCAGTAGAACACATCTCGCTTTCAAGGCCTTGCAGAGTTCGCACCGGTGGAAATACGAGCTTTGGCAAGGTTCGTAGCGTCAACAAGTGAGCTTTCAACAATATTAAGGAATATGTAGCTCAATATATCGTTGCCTAAATGAGAAAAGTGCCAAAGTATTTGTCTTGAAATAGTTTATAAAAGGCGAAAAATTGATGTAGTTTCGCATCATCTGTCATTCTGCACCAAAAACAAAATTTTTGAAAATAGTGGACTTGGCACCTTTTCTCATTTAGGTAGCGATATCGTTAACGGGATTGTGTGTACCTCAGTTGGCTGGTTTCAGTTCTACCTGATATCTGACTAGCAAACAGTTATCCTAATTTGGCCCAATTTTGATGCACTTCTCGTGGGAAGTGTTTTGTCTATGTCAATCCTATATTGTTCGGTCCAATCACCTGGATTCTCTGTTAAATTTACCTACATTATATGTGCTAGCATCCGATAGGTCTGCTAGTTTAAATACTAGGCATATTCCTAGTGTTTCATAGCTAATATTTGTAAGGCCTGGTAGTTCGCACGGGTAATGCTAGATACGATCTTTGCTATAAGTATCTTCGTGCTGACAGCTGCAATTCTATTATATATGTGGAAACCTTGTTCTTGCCGCATTTTTATCTGGAGGCTGATACTCCGTGACTGTTGTTACAATTCTAAATATTTCTGTCCTTGCTCTATCAAGCAGATCCAAGGTCTTTGTTCTTTTATAGTCAAGCTAGAGCTCTCTTGAAACCTTAGAAGCGCGTACATTTGACCACCTGTTTCTAGTCAGTCCAAGAAAATGGAAAATTACTCCCCAACTAGTCCCGAACGGGTGCCAACTAATCCTGAAAGGGCCCTGAACAAGACTCGTCTTTTAAGACTTAAAATTTTTTACGCACTCATAATTATTATGAAAAGACTTATAATATAAGTCTTAAAATAAAAGTCTTTGAAGACTTAAAAATTTTAATCTCTCTGATAATTATTATGAAAGGACTTTTAGATAAAAATTATAGATGAGTGGAAAAATATTTATCTTACTATAATAATTATTGATTGACTTTTATTCTTTTCTCTTATAATAGTTTTGTCTCTGTGTAATTAATTTAAAAATTGCAGAAACAATGTCTGCCAAATTTTTCCAAAAATCTGCACATGCACAGAAAATTATAGCCAACTTTTGCCAAATTTAGATGATGTTTGAATTTCAGAGGATTTTAATTTTCCCTATGTTGTATTAGAATCAACTAACTTTTTAAATTAGAAAGCCGTTATATGAAGATTTGTGTCAGTGGCGCCATAAACTAGTAGATAAGAAGTGGTGTACAAATTCATCAACGCGAATCTGTTAAAATAGTTTTGTCCCACTGGATACAATTCACTGTGCGTCGCCTGACTATTATAATGCCTATATTGTTGTTTTTTTTTTTTTTTTTTGTACTCGATGTTACAGGCGGTATGGGGAGAATCTCTCCAACCAGCCTAACCTAACTTAGATCACGTCATGCTTATTTCAAATACTGGTTTTCGCTCTTACTGTACATATGTAAAATTTTTTATTTTCAATATTTTACAAACATCACCACAAGTCTAAGCTTTAAACGAAGCATTATAATTTTAACATCTTTTAGAAATCATACTGTATGTTTACGGTTGTTTTTTTGTTTTCTTTGTAGGCAAAATGGTGCATATCGGCAAGCATTATTGATTTTTTTTTTTCATAAAATATACACACACAATAGCTCTAAGTGTATATAGTTTAACTAAAGAATATCACATTAGTTATCTACATAAATTTATATATAAAAATTTTAAGCCACATAAATACAAATTGCTAATTATATTTATGTACGTAGGCAACGATTAAAACTAGTACCAAAAATTTGTTTTAAATTAATTCTATGTAAATATTTATGTATGTACGAATGGATGTATGTAGGTGAAAAGGTTATTGCACTGCACTACTTTTTCATTTGATAGTCCTTTGTGAAGCCATACGTGTCCGCCACTGGAAATAAGATAAAAATAAATAAAATTAAAAAATATTATGCAAAATCAACTGCCATTAAATTGCGTCTCACATTCATAATCAGCTGAGTAGNGCTGTGAAGCCATACGTGTCCGCCACTGGAAATGAGATAAAAATAAATAAAATTAAAAAATCAACTGCCATTAAATTGCGTCTCACATTCATAATCAGCTGAGTAGCATTCGAAGAAATCGCCTAACAGCTTGCCGGCAGGCAAATCCCAAGTGCCAGTGCCGCCATATTTCACAGGCAACGCATTCTTATCGATGTGCGACGTCAGCGACTTCCAGTCTTTGCCATGGAAGAATATCTGAAATAAAGCAACCACATTTGAATTACTACAGCGCAGTGCTTTCCGCGTAAAACTAGCAAATTTTTATCAAACTTTAATTGCGATTTTTATTCTCAGTTTTACTAGCTCCAGTTTGTGTCACATAAAAATTCTTTTTTTTTGTTTATCACTTTCTTACCCGCTTTCGCAGCTTCTCGCGTATGAATGGCTTGAAAATGGCGAATAGCATATTGAATATATACGAATTATTTACTATATGCACCGCTTTCAGTCGCATACAAATGCATTCTTGCACATAGTCGAGCAGCATGGCGGCAAAGGAGGGCGTAAATTGCATAACATGGCTCATTGGCAGGCCCTCCATATCGATAATGACTATAGCACCACAAATCTGCGATAATGGTTCAGCCATAGAGCCCAAGACCTAGTTGGTGGGGTAGAGAAGTTAAAATGTTAAAAGCTCTTACGGGAATCACTTACAAGCAAGCAAAGGAACTTACCGTCAATTGTATGGTGCGGAAAAGATCAATCAGCGGGGCGCGTGAGGGTTTCCATTTTTCTGTGAAATAAAAAAGGAGTTTAAAGTGTTATTTTTATTCAAAAAGCTTAAGCCTGAAGACCAAACTTAAGGAACTGTTTTTGAAAATACAAAATATTTGTCCCATCAGAAGATTAGGCTCTTGCATTAAAGCAGAAATAATTGTTTTGGTCTTGGTCCAAACCAACAAACGATTGAATTGTCAAATAAGAAGAATAATGAATTTTTTTATATGTAAACAATTTTATCTTTTACTCACTTCCAGCTTCGATGGCAAGTATGCGACGTCCATGTTGATCTCGGTTGGGAAATAGTGATAACAAATCTTCCTCAAAAACATTTTTCAGCTTACTAGGTACAATATTTTCACAGGGAGCACCATATTTCGCCTTCATGTGATAGAAGTTTTTGAGCTATGTGAGAAAAGAAAAGTTGGTTGCAATATAAATATCATTAAAAGAAATACGGAAATATTTATATATACATATATATATATTTGGCGCTTGAACAATTTCACCGCCATTTACGCCATGCTAAAAGCTGTGGACCCAGCTGAGCCTGTACAGCCTAAGCGTAGATATCTACCTACTCCAACTTACCCTCTTCATCGCTGATTCTGGATAGTAATGGGTTGGTCGCAGGAACATTTTCATATATTCATCATCAAGCGGCAACTTCAGATGTTTTTCTTCTGTTTTTGTGAAAAATGGAATTAAAAATAAATAAAAGTGGTAAGTAAGAAAGCAATTCACAACAGCTTTCACGCAAGCTTTCACCTTACTTTTGCTACGCACGCACTTACCTTGTATCAGCTCACGCAGCTTCTTAATGGCCGGTTCCATTATTTCGGGCACTTCACGTAATTCCTGGCGGGCTTTCTCCAACGCCCACTCTGGCGCTTCCTCTTTTTCCATGCGAATAATTCCAGTACTCAAATCGATGTAGGGCACTTTATTATCATCGAACTCTATGCAAAGCGCTTTCACCATTTTGCTGACTGGTTAATTTGGTGTGTGTTTAATAAGTTATAGAGAGTGCTGTAACAAGAAGAGAAAGTACTTTTTTGAAACGCAAAATATTATTGATTTCTAAGACTAGTAAAGCGACTAGTACTTTTTCTGATATGAAATTAAATATTAATTTATGTAAATTTTTAACCAGAATCTTTACAATAAATATAGGTTTGTGTATTACATTTTTAATGATATGTAATTTTTATTTTCAAAATGCATAAACAATTCAATAAAATCTCGTTCTTTAAACACATGCATTTATGTGTGTAAGTGGGTTTATATTCAACTAAACAAAGCTTCCTAGCGATCCATACCTCAAGTGGACGCTGTCATTGTCAAAGCTTAATCAAAAAAAAAAAAAAAAACAATGAATTGATAGAACAGGTGGAATCAATCATTGCAATATTCAGGTACCTAAGTACTTAATATATAAACAATATTACAACAAATAAACATATAATACTCGCAGCCACTAACAGAGAGCTGCGACTTACACGTAAAGGCTTTAGAGATAGAGGAGCTGAGCGCATCTAATACGCAGAAGCGCTCACTTAAATTAAACGCCTTAATTTATGCAGCTGACAGTGCATTCTTTTTGATATTTATGAGTAACTAAGCAAACATGTTTTAAACATATTTGCACGAGATTTAGACACTTCTGAGGCGTCTAAAGCAAATACTTAGCGCGTTTGTAGTACTCTTGGAACTGTGAGCGAACTATAGCGCAGGCCTATGGCATAGGGAGTATCCGATCGATTGTTTGTTTATATTACGTGTCGATTTCATCATAGTTATTCTCAATTATGCATACAACACAAAGGGATCTAACAATAATAAATTACGTTTTTGCATTTCACTTTCGCCACTTGGCGTCGAAGTGACTACAGTGACTCGCCATTGGAATAGAAGCCGCGATGATGGACAAACGCATTGGCCTGGTCAAACCCGAGTAAGATGAAGAGTGTTCATTTTTATCTAAAGATATATACAAAAGCATGCAAGTCAGAATTTCAAAGTGTGTTCCACAAATTTTTGTAATATGGAGGAAAATGCACAACCCCGTCAACAAAAAAAAAACTTGGACTTTAAAATTAAGGGCAACAAACCTCTGTTCTGAATAACAGTCTGAAATTGTTATAAACACCAAAAAGACGTTTCTCAAAATTTTCTTTTTCGTGCTGAAATGTTCCTGGAGCATCTAGATGCATTTCTGCATCGAAAATTCAATTTTGAAAAAAAAAATTATGCTTACGTCTTTTTGGCGGTTAGGTCTGGATTTATAGAAATTCGTCGAATTTATATGCATCGTGTAAAAAGTTTTAAATTTTGATTTGCTAGCTAATGCCTGCGACTGCGTCTGCGTAGCTTACTAATTTTCCATATACTTGCGGCAGATTTTTAAAGCTAAAAATACATTTTCAATTTGATTTTTTTAGCAAATATTGTATACGTATGCAGTATAAGTCTATAATATCAATTATCGGTCCACTGAATATCCTATTCAAGTATTACTCCATGTATATGAAGTATAAAATTCTAATTTCAATCGAATCGGATAATACCCTGCAGTGAAAAATTATCAATTGTTAAATATTACAACTTACATATAATTAGCTTTTTGGCGAGTTTTCGATAAATACCTTACTTTTAATTACGAATGACAAAGACCACTTAAAGTGAGTTGTAATGTCGTGCAACAGTCATGCAGACGCAATCGGGAGGTTGTTTTCTTTACAAGTTTCTATTTAAAAATTCTCTTCACTGCTTTGAATACATTTAGTTTCTGCACTTCACAAATTCTTTTTCGAATGCGGGACAAATAAAACGAAATTTTACATTATCATTTTCATGTCATGTCTGACGGAATTCCAAAATAATACCACCTGCTGCAGAATATGGGTTTCAAAAAATTAATTTTTTTTTTTGAAATCGCAAAAATTCGACAACATTTAAATTTTGACCAGCTACAGGTAAGTAGGGGTTTTCTCTGAGTCTTGCAAAGCCCTTGCACGGTGCACAGATTGCACGGACTGCACGGTAAAAACCGGTTTTCGTATGGGATAGCTTGTGCAGTGAGTTTATGAATAACATGTCAAATTTATCAGACTAGAGTTCCCCCACCGGTTAAAATTCAGTAACTAAAATTAAGAAGAGTTGAGGGGAATTAAGGTGAGTTGACTTGAATTGAGTTGAGTTAAGATGAAGTGAAGTGAGTATAGGTGAGGTGAGTTGAGATAAGTTAAGATGATGCGTTAGATTGAGTTGAGGTGAAATAACATTAATTGGGGTGAGTTGAGATAATTATCGCATTCTCAAATATTTGCATCTACGTTCCAAACACCTTGTATTGTACCATATTGCATATTAATGCCTTTCGATTGCCAAAGTCCAAGTAAGCTTTACGCTTTTCAGCTAAAATAACCAATCACCAATAAGTGATCTATTTACCAAAGCGAATAACACAAAATTACCCTAATTTTAAAACGATAAAATGTCTAAAGACATAAGTACAGGAATATTCCAGTCGACCGCTAAAATTTATTGTACCTTGCACAACTCAAAACTAGTTAATCCCTCTTGAACCCCAATTACCGTAAAATGCTTAATTCTTTCTCAGCTACATACGTACCCGGCTACACATTGACGTTAAAGATAAGTTGTAAATAATAATTATTGTTTTAATTTTTTTTTTTACTTAACTTTTGATCAGCCTCAGCGTTTAGAGGCTGACAGCTACGAGTATTTTAATTGTCTGTTTTCGAACAACAAATTATATTGTCAAACTGTAAATTTATTGGAAAGTACGTGCATATGTATGTACCTATTATCGGTACTGCAGTACTTAATTAATTAATTCAGTCTATACGATTGTACGTAAAGAAAAATTGCATGCGTATAAATATTTATAAGTACTTACATATAAATAGCAGTTACAATTTGTAGTACATACATACATAACTACGCCCATATGCTTATCGTTTTGTAATGTACAGATGCATAACATAAACCGCTGTTAGCGGGGAGTGGTAGTACCTCTGTGTAAATGACCATAAAGAGACATTTTTAATTGCCCAAATCTGCATAATTAAGTGCATTTCTCATTTTATGAATGGTAATTTCTCGGATGAAATTTTTCTCCATCAATTCTCGCTGGACGTGATTGTTTTTCAAAGTGCACGTTATTTAAGTGATAAAAAAAAATTTCACGAATGCAAATAATGTATTTCAACACAAATTGCGGGCACAAATGACGCAAATGGTCAAGATAAACATAAATATTTTATTTTCTTCCTAAACTTTCGCAATCACAAGCCAGATCGCTAAATAGATCGTACAATGCAATTAGATGAGCCTCAGTAACAATTGCGTCCGGCGTAAAGGGATTGATGCAACCACATGCCGCTGGATAGCAGACGTCCTTAAATCCAGAACTATTACATCTACACTAGGACAGGAAAGAGTTCGATTCCTAGCTACGAAAGATTACCCGCAGAATTCAGTGATCTTCCCTGTGCTATTTATACTCCATCTTGGCAGACGAACTACTCTGTTTTCTTATTGAAAAGGGCTTTGATGTTCAGGCAACCAAAAAAAAACATCTACATATGTACACTAGGGCAGCAGAGCGGTGCTTTTCTGAAGTAATAAAATTTTTGGTCCTTCTCATGCCCTACGTTCTGTTCGATTAAGGTGGCTGCCTCAAACAGGGGCACGTTTGCACTAAAATCATTGCCCCAGGAGACTACATCTTTGAACGGCAACTACTAAACTATTACCCAATAGGCTGTGTACGAAGAACAAAGATTCAGATGCTACAGGCGTCTATGCCAGCTTGGCTAAAAATTGAAATACCAGGTATTTAGACAGTGGCCTTGCATAGGCTGGCCAGTTTAAGAGAAAGTGTTAAGATCATTCCACCTCTTCGTCCTCTAACAGCGCTCTTACACGATGTGTATTTGCATATGTAAATGGTATTTTTTTTGTATCTACTCGTATGTACCGTATATTGGAACGCATCAGAAAAGTAGCATTTACATATGAAAATGCACTGACTGTGAGGATCTGGTGTGATATTTAATCTTACCGCTTAAAGTCCGATCGGGCAGTGCCTTGTTAATACACTAACTCGAATTGAGAGTTTCGGTTTCATGATATTGAGGAGATCCCTCAACAGCCTCTTCGACCAGACTTGCAATAACCCACGCTCTCGTTTCCGCCCAGCATTTGTAGCCGACGGTAGCAGTCAAAGTTACTCCCAATCACTTTTTTTCTTAAGGAAACCGACTCGATGATGCCATTCATTACAGTTATATGGAAGTCTTAAATTGAGATTGATGTAAACTTTTCCGCAAACGATGACCCTGCACCGACTCTCGAAAACTACTGATCGGGTTTTGAGGAGATTTTCTCTAATATACTCTGTATCGATAGGAGAGTGACCGTTTTTATTTAGAACTTTAATAGGGTTGCCATAGGGTTCACTTATCGTCGTTCCTTCCCACTGTAACCGCGGACAATATAATTGA